TTTAATGAGTTGTAAGCCGCCCAGAGTCCCCCATTAGGGGGAGATGGACAGGGATAAATTTAATTAAATAAATAATAATAAATACATAATAAAAAAATAAAACCAAGCTTGCACATTGCAAAGTTAAGGATTTTAACTTGCACCTAAAACCATTACATTCAGTGCCAGGAAAGTTTATTGACAAGAACAATATAGTTATGGGATGTTAACCCTGAGAAAACTCCTTGTCACCTCTTGCCCAATTTCTGATGGTATTGACATCCTAAAAGCTCTTAAATGATGTTAATATTAAGGCAGGTTCTGAGCAAAAATGTAGTCCTTCAATATCTGAATCCTAAATTAAATCATGCTTTCAATATTAAAAACATTTCAGTAAATGGCTTAAGGATGCATATTTGATATTTCAGTAAGGCTTCCACATGCAAAATGTTTTAAGATTTAAGAATAGCAGAGAGCAAAATAGTGCAACAAATAAAGTGAAAATCCAGTCAGGTAGGCCAAACAATGGAAGAAATGATAAATGTAGCAGTTCAAAAATGCTCTCCCATGTTTTCTTTAGCACAAATATAAAGTTAAACCAACCGGACTGGAAGGCAGTCAACTGCTTCTGAGCATCCATGTCACATCTGTCATAAACACAAATATCTGGACAAGTATTTAGCCCAGGTTGCACATGGATGACACCAATTTGTGATTTTATAGCAGGGAAAAGGAATGTTGTTAATCTCAGAAATAACTTGTGGCTATATTCACTTACATTTTTTTCTCCCACATATTTCTATATACAGCTGTAGGCCTGTTGCAAGATGCTCATGCGGAAAGAGCAATTAACTGCTGAGAAACAGCCTAAAGGCTTTGTCTTAGAAAACTGATAAGATCAGTTTCACCCAGGATATAAAACTAAAATGCCATTGCCAACATGTCTGCAGTTCTTCAACACAGATTTTCAAAAGCAGACTTTTGTTATATACAAAATACCTACCATTTTCTTAGCCTTCATGACCTTATAACGATCAAAATCTGTCATCTTGGCTTTCTATGGAAAGATTTTTTGACAGAGAAGTCTGAGAACCTGAATCTTACCAAAAACTGCCAGCTTCTTTATACATCAGCAAAATACAATCAGTCACCTCATACATAGCTTTTATTTTCAAAACCAAATCAAATCTTTATCACAGTCATAGACCAGCATAAGGGGGCAGGGTATAGTCATTAAAAAGAAGCATAAAGGATCTAATACACACACACACACATATTAGAGTGAAAATGAAAATCTTAAAAAGTTATAAAAAGCTGGAAAATATAAAAGGTATGTTAAGTTAAAACCTAAAAATATATAAAAACAAGAATCATAAAGGAGAAGGAGCGTTAGATGGGTGTAGAGAAACATTAAAAAATTAGTATGTGGAAGATTATATCAAGTTACAAAACACTCTTAATATGGCAAACTAGGTGATAATTAGTTCTCATTTATAAAGTTGAGACCCAAGCACAGATCATCATCCAAAAAATTTTGACTGCTGCTGCAAAGAATTTGGCAATATTGAATGTTGTAGAAGAGTTGGTATCTGAAAGCAAGAGGGTGGTGTAATAATGTCCTGTGTGCCCTGGGTACTGATGCAGTACAGGTAGTCCTCGGTTAACGACCATTTGTTTAGCAACCATTCAAAATTACAATGGCACTGAATGAGACGACTTATGGCTGGTCCTTGAAGTTGTGACCATTCAGCATCCCTGCAGTCACATGATCATGATTCAGGTGTTTGGCAATCGGCTCATAATTATGACGGTTGCAGCATCCCAGTGTCATATAATTGCCTTTTTTTCCCTTCACTGCCAGATTCCAACAAGCAAAATCAATGGGGAAGCCGGCAGGAAGCCACAGATGGCGATCACGTGATGCTGCACCTAATTATTCCAACTGGAACTGCCGTTGTTAAGTCAGCACAGTCACATAACATCGCACTTTAGGACATGTTGCTTAACAACGGAAGTGCTGGTCCCAATTACCATCATTAACCAAGGGCCACCTGTAATGGTAAGATGAGACTAGTACAAATGTCTCTGTAGTACAGGCACTGGAGAAGCACATGCTCTGTTGTCTCTGTGTGTCTTAAAGTCACTGGGAAAGCTTTTACTTTTTTCCCACCACAATCATATAACTGTTAGCAGTGTACAAGTATAAAACATATATAATATATAAAAAATTAAATTAAAATCACAAAAACATGAATATAAAACTGAAGTTATATAAACAATTTGCTTTAGATATTAACACAATTAGACCTTGTTATTACAATGACATGCTTTTTTCCCTAATAAGCTCAGGAAAAAGTTTCTCCTTTTAGCTTCATCATATCATCTGAGAACTAATGAATGGCCCAAGGTCACTCACACAGTGAAAGGGCTGTAAAGGAATTTAAGAGCATTCAACCATGAAGTGGAAGAGATTTATTTATGCTTATTTTACATATCTGAATCTTCAACCAAGGATTTACATACAGGCAGTCCCCAGGTTAAGAACGCCCTGTTTAAGGATGACCCTTAGTTAAGAACAGAGCCTACTGTAGCAAAATTTGAATTAAATACACAATTTGAGTTAAATACACAATGGTTTGAGTTAATTACTACTTATACAGTATTACACACTAATACTGTTCTGGCTTACATACAAATTTGACTTAAGGGCAGACCTTGAGAACAAAACTCGTTCTTAAACTGGGGACTACCTGTACTATTAAAAATGACCAAATCTGAAAAAACACAGACTAATACAGAGAAATTTAAAGAACCTGAGAGGTAAAGATCTTTTAATTTAATAATTAAAAAAAGGCACAAAGCTAAGATTCCCCAAAACCTTTTAAAAAGATTGTGCAGGCAGGCTGCAAAAAGCATAATTAATTGTGCTTCTATTATTTAGATTTATATCCTTTCTTTTCATACAGAAGTTCAAGGCAGCATACACAATGCTCCCTCTTCCCATTTTTCCCTACAAGAACTCTGAAGCAGGCTGGGGTGAGAGTGATTGGCTCACAGTGTTTTCTATTAGAAGCAATTTTCAACAAAATTAAAAGTCATCCCTGTAGCTACTTTTTCTGTAGGCTGAATAGTACGCAGCACTTAGCATGGACTACTAACCCAATTACTTTTGTTGACCTAGGATGATGAGAGAGGGATAAAAGGATTATTTCAAGTTCCTATTGTTATCTATCGCAGAACATTTGAAACAATGTGGAATGAATGCTCTCTTTTGTCCCAAGTTCAGGACGGAGCATGTGAACAAAGGACATTTTGTTCAGAATCCCAACTGTTTTCCAGAGTCCTATAGCGTGCTGCACCTCAAATGGCAGAAGCATCAAAAAGACAAGTTTGCTGAACAACTTATTATATAGGCAGTTAACTGGCAACAGATACTGCAGAAACAGAGTTGTTAATTATACTTCATCATTTAGCTGCTTCCAAAATGCCATTTAACTCAAAACTATTGTTTATTTTATGTGGTTTCAAAAACATACCTTCTCCCTGGCCTCAATTTTTTGCGCCCATCTGGTGGCTTTCCATTTCTCATTAATGTTTTCTTTTTCCCAGGCAATTCGCACACATTTTTGACGAGCACTGTATTTAAAACACAAATTATTTTCTATTTGTAAGATTATTTTTCATTTACAATCAACATTTATGTAAGATGTACTTAAAAACATTTTAGTTTTTTTCTCGTGTCAATCTCGAGAGCACTAAACTTTCTGCTGGCAATAATTAGTGAAAGGTAGAGTCAAAAATAAGACCTTTAATCACAGCAGCAATAACTTACTATATCAGTCCCCTTAAAAAATTGTGGCTCAAAAAGTTATTTTGAAAAATATATAGTTTTTCTTCTTTGAAGAAACAGTATCACAGCTAGATCTTGCTACAGCTCTAGGACTTACCTTTATTCTACATGATGACTGCATATGCAATTCATACTATGCCATACTTTAGTGCAGGCATGCAAATGTTTTTCTGAGCAGAGGGCCATATTCCAAAAAAGTAGGGAGAAGAAAAATATGAAATTATTTCATTTTGTTCTCAATTAATGAAAAGTTAACATAGTTAATACTCTGCAGTCATTTGTATAATAAAGATTGCAGTTTGGTAATTATTTTTGGAGGTCTATAAGGTCTCCATCCAAGGTTGAACCTATGGGTTATGCTTTTGCTTCAGTAGTATAGTAGAACTACTGTAGCCTATTGTGTGTTAGCAAACTACAACTCAATGGAACCTGAAGCTGGTGGGAGATGGAGACCAAAATGTTTAGTAATTTATTTATACAATACCTATACTGTCCAAATCAATTGACTCTGGACAGTTAACATAAACAATCCATAATAAAACTCAAAATTGTTAGACCAAAATAACATGGCTAAAAGATGGCTGCCCAGTCACCATCCAATCAATCTAATGCCCACTTAAAAAGAAGTGTTCAGGGTTTTCTGGAATGTCACAAGTGCAGGGACCAGTCTTACTACTGGTCAGGACAACCTATCACAGCACCTTGAACAAGTCCTGTCTTACAGGGCAGGCAAATCATAGAACGCAGTGGTCCCAAATTTTACCTGTGCTCTACCATATAGGCTGTAAAGCTGGTAATTAGCACCCTGAACTGGGTCCAGAAGTTTAGCATGTTGCAGAGTCACTACACATGGTGATAAGGATAGGAGTTACTGCCACTAAGGCTCCTTTGTGCAGTTAGGGCATAACTGGCATAGGGACAAAAGCTCCCTTAGCCATGGCTTCTATCTGCAGATCTACCAAGAGCAGTGAGTTCAGGACAAACCCAAAGTACAGCACTGCTCCTTCAGGGGGAATATGATCCCAACATTGGTACTAATATTTTAGGAATGCCTACATGTTTATTCGTTAATGGTACCTGTCTTGCTAAGATATAATTGGAGCGCCTTTCCTTCATCCAGATCCTCATAGTCTCCACCAGGTCAAGACTTCCAGAGTATCTCCACTTCAGCCTCAGTTTGCAATATAAAGTTGACTATCACCCACATACTAATAACTCATCCCAAACCGATGAATGACATCTCCCAACAGCTTCATATAGCTATTATAAAGTATGGGAGAAACAAATATATAAAAGACCCACTAGTGGCCCACTCCTTCAGTGTGATGGTGCTGAATATTAATTAGTTCTAAATAAGTCAACTTTAAATAAGGATTTTAAGCCTAATTTAAATTACCCATAGGTAATATTAGCAACTAAGGTTGTATATTGCTTTGGAATGTACAATAGCTGCATAATCCTGGAAAAAGGCACAACTGCTTTAATGAGTATCAGACAGGCAGTGCATTTGGACTCCCGGGCATTCCAAAACACATCTTTCAAATCAAACCCAGCCCTTTTAAATTATCAGTCCAGATAATATTCCACGCTACATGCTATCCACTTGCTTGAGTGACGCAATTCCTTCATACGGCTTTATTTGAATTCAGAACATACAGAATCGTAATTCTGACAGAATAGCTTTGCTTGATGCTATTTTATTATATAAGATTTTGCCACTGGATGGATTAAAATCAATTTAGGAAAATTACCTACAAATTATCATTGAGGAAATTCTAGAGTTGGTAGGCAATGGTCTAGATTGGAAATACTTAAAACTATAAGTAAGAGCTTAATATGAAGTTCTGATGTGTGAACATTTTTATACCTTGTGAAATCATTTTACAGTAACTTATTTTAAGTTAATTAATAAAAAAATTAAAATAACAGAATAGCCTTCATGCTGACATCAAGGCTTCCTCTTGTGAATAACCTACTACACAAGAAAGTGCTTGTCTCCCTACATTCCCACAAAGTTTTCAGCCATGATAGAATAGGATAAACTCTTAACATCCTTCCAGTAGCAGCAGTAATGCAAGTATTTCTGTATTAATCCAAATTTAGAGGGTAGTGATTCTGGATATCAACAGTATCACAGTAACCAACCTGTGAGGAAACTTCAGAACAAAATCGGTTAACTGCATGCACTTGAAGGGCATAGCCTGCCTTCTGACACCACTGCAAGGACCATCAACTAGGGCCTGTAGAAACCAAGGGAAAAATGTAAGTTTTCTGAAGCTTTCCAGATAAATATTTAATGCAGAGATTACTTTCAGGTAGCCTACAGATTTGTTCAGATCCTAACTTTAAAGACATAAAATGGAGTCTTTAATGGAGAAGTTAAAGAACATCAGTGGGTTTTCCCCCCTCTTTTCAGTTCATTTTACACTCACAAGAAACATTCTTTATAAGTTACCAACAACTTCTAATTTCTGTCTCTGGGGTTCTTTTGAGGATCATGAGGAAGATTTAAAAAGGATTTTCAAGAACACCAGTGTTAATACTCTTAACACTAAAATAATTACTTCATATCACAAACCAATGCACATTCTTTTTTTATTGAACACAGTGAGACTAAATGAAGAGGATGTTATATGTTGAGCAGACTACAGAAGAATTTCTGAAGTGCTGAGTCTATAAATAAGCTTGCAGAAAATAATCATACCTAAGAAAGCAAATTTACTTGTAACATAACCATGGTTATGTGCATATATCCATACTGCAGACAATCACTGTACTATAAAGAATTCAGTGTAAATCAAGCTGGTTACAGAAACACGAATGTCTGGAGCATTAGAGGAACACCTATACAAGTTTATGTTTGAAAGTCTAATGTGTTCAGAAAGCAAGCTGCTTTGTTCAGATATTCATCTAGGCAACTGATATGCATCTGACTGGTAAGCGTCAATTTCTCTGTCTGAATTTGTCTCCTTAAGGATGCCCACAAAAGATACAAGCTTGGTGAGAAGTTAGAGGCCTGCAATTCTATGCTAACCATAAAAAAGAACCCCCTCTTCTGTAGCTTTCCAGATAAATATTGGAAATGCATGTTAATAGCTTCTTAAGTGTTTAACATAACCATACTTTCTAACAAGCACACTGCAATTACATAGAAAATAGGTGGGCTAACTGTAGAAGGATGGGATAATCAGTCCTGTATGCAATTCCTGATCACTGCTACCTACCACAGATAAAAACATCATTTTATTAAACATACGGCATAAGCACTGAAACTTACCCTGTTTTGGTCGATAACATCCACAATTGCTACCAACTTGCCTGCATGTGGTCCAAATGAAATGTAAGCAACTCGGCCAATCTCAACATAGCGCTTGAACACCTTAATCAGATAAACTTTATTTTAATGACTCAAATGATTCATTACTAGACATGTTTATAGAATTATACAGCTCTTCTAAAAGTCCTACAAAACAGGTAACTTATTTACATCCTATCTTGAATTTTGAAACAATTGAAATAACCGGTTTTTGATATTGTAATATATTATTCCCCAACCCAAAGGCATTTAGATGTGATGGTACAGCCACCTCTTGAATTTGCAGGCAGCGTGGCCTTACAAAAGTTACAGAAATCTGAGAAATTGGAGAAGACTTTCTCACCACGGCCGAGTAGTATCTCGGTCTTCCTCACCAGAAAAAAATGGTAAAAAAATGACAAAACTCCCCCTGCTCCGCGTTAACCACCCACGACCATCTCTTCCTCTCACACCCAAGACAGACTCCTAGGCCCTTCTCCCTCATGGCCCCTCCCGCCTCCCTCCTTCTCGCCTTAAATCAGCCATCGCCAGCCAAAGGAAGTGGAGGCTGTCCCGAGACCCTTCACAACCACCCTCCACCTCAGGAAGCCTTAACAAAACCACCGCGGACAAGGCCTCGACCACGCTCCCGCACTCACCATGATGGCTGCCCCACGAGCCGATGCAGAAAAAGAGAAAGAACCGCTTCCGGTTGCCTCGCGATACCTCCGCCAATATCCTAACTGCGGATGTGCACCAGAGGAAGAGGCGGGACTCAATCGCTCTATTCTCGACGAGGTGGAGGCTGCATAGCAGAGATTGGACAATGACAGGCGAAATGGCCGCTTTGACTGAGAACAGAGAATATTATTGCGCATGCGTATTTCCGGCCTTTCGCTTTTTTTCTTCCACGAATGAATGAAATCAATCGGATGAATTCAAGCGGTTACTTTTTGCGCATGCGTTGTTGTATGAACGGAGTCTGAGAAAGTGCGGCGCCTTCTTCTCCTTCGTCCTTTAAACTGTGTTCATACATAGTAAATGTTGTGTGTATGAAGGCTCGGAAATAAAAGGGAAGGAGGAGGTGGGCCGATAATAAAGTCAATTCCTGGGCAATCCGTGGCAACTTTAAGTCTTCCTTGGGTGAATTCAGTGCCTGCGTTCGAACGATATGCTTTTTGTTATTGAATTATCTATGTTCGGGGTTTGCACAGTACCCTGAACCATAATAATCATGATTAAAACTAGCTGAGTTTAGAATGTTGCTTGTGCAGGCACAAGGCCTTTAATCAACTCCGTGTTGTGTGAACACAGCCACTGGGTTTGCCGAAAAATACGGTTTACTACTGACTTGTACGATTGGGAGTTGCTGCAGGCATACGAAGGAAAAAAGATGGCCCAGTCTCTGTTGGTTTTTAAGGCCTTTTAAATTTTCAATCTGCTTTTTAAGCAGCCATTTTTGGATTTCAACGTTTTTTTGGCAACCTGTTACATTTGTTAGCTGCCTTGGTTAGATATGAATGTCTTACAAAAATGAGGATCCTTGCTCTAATAACTAGAACTACTGCTACAGGTTATTAAGTAGCGCAGGCAAACAATTAAAAATTGGAAAATCAGATTGATTCTAGAACAGTGCTTGAAACACAGATATGATCATCATAGAAAGGAAGTGTGCCAGGTCTGGAGAATGTCATGTGCCAATTTGGGGAGCCCTATAGAAGAATAGTTCCCATGCCAGATCTAGGCTCTTGGGACATGCATGGTCATGCAACTGGTTTAGGCTTGCCTGAATGAGAAGCATATTTTCCCCATTTTCTCTTGTGTGGGAATGCACTCCAGATTCAAACCAGACCCTCCATGCAGAATATCAGTTCCACTCATGTAGGGTTTTTGCAGATGTTCCCGGTGCCTCTGTCAGTTGTTCCAGGAAGAGAGGAAATAAATAAATGTTCTATAATGTGTGTGATGTCTCTGCTGCTGTGGCTGAATGATTAGGAAATTGCTCTAATATATAATATGTGAGTTTGAGTTCTAGTAAATTTTTATTTTCTCTTCTAGATGTGCAAAAGACAAGTAGCATTCATCTTTTCTCATTTCCCAGTCTCATGTATGATGTAGAGAACTACTGAGTGTCTCTATGTCTAAAACTGTTTCCCAGCCTTTCCCTTTGGCTGTTTATCAAGAATCTTTTCTTCATCTGGATCTTGAATCCTTCTCACAACAGGGCCATTTTAAAGCTTTCTTTTTCTTCTCCAACTTGGCATCTTTTAGATACATTGGCCATGCTGGCTGAGAATTATAATCCCAACAGATCTGGAGGGAGTGAGATTAAAGAACAGTGGTGTATACTGAGCTCCAAAACACTGTTTATGAGCAACACAGAAAGATTTGGGAGGATACCTGGGGTATTGCAGACTTGCCATCAAGCTGATGGATTGGGGGCACTGGGTATCATATGTGTTACAGTAGAGAGGAGATACGTGTCACTGAGTTTATTGACTTCCTCCATGCATAGGTGATCCATGGGTTCCATCACTGGCACAGCAAGTGGGCAGCGATGCTCTAGAGACAGTAGAGCTGTATGTGGTTTCTTATGCCATCTCTTATGCCATTTCCTGATTGTAGATTTTTCCTGCCCAGTAAACCTAAATATGTAGGAATTATTTTCCCAGCATCGTTGGAGCATATTTTTCCCAATACCCATCTGCCTTGATTATTCTTGTCACATTCCTTCTGTGTATAGAAATTAGGCTTCTACGTTTCGTATTAACTCATCTTGAAGGAGTTCTTGTCATTAATTGCTGTAGTGGATTACCAACTCCCACTTCATGAATGTTTTGAAAGGTTATTTTTCAAATTATTCTTTAAATCATCCTGATCAGAAATACAAATAGACCTGGCTAACATCTACCGTAGGTGATTTCCCCCTCCTCCCCCCCCCAAAAAGCGGGGGAAAGGCTATTTACTAGATCTGGAATAAATTAAAATTAAAAATGTCTCCCTCTGATACCCCTCCACCCCTCACATCCTAGGCCTTTTTGGTTTCTTGCTTTTCTTGCTGCATCTAAACAATTGCATCCTGAACTGCATCATAGTACTAGAGGAGAACTAAAATAGATTGAGGTACTCAGAATGGGGTACTTTCTTATAGCTATGAGTTCTTTTCCTTGCTTTTTACATAATTAGGGAAAGTTCTGGTCTCCATTGTGAACTTGTTTTATTCTACAGCAAATACATGTTCAACGTGACAAGTGTTCTTTCGCATGCGAGACCGAACATATGAATATACCAGGAAAATCAGACACAATAATGCCACTGCTGTGAAGAAGAGTAGGAGTCCAGCAAACAGAGAAGGATTCATAGGGAACCAGATCCTATTGCTTTCTGCTGGGATCATGTTGGTGAGGCTAAGCATGTAGCCTAGTGACCAGGCAATGCTGCTGTTATCAACCTAAAACACACCAAAAAAACCACTATATTACTGCTATTAAAATATAAAGCTTTTCTTACTATGAAAAGCAAATGTTTTATGTAAACGTAAAGACACCTTTTCATTGAGTTCAACTCCTGGTGACTAAGTGGATGTATCCTTGTAATTTTTAAAACATTTTAAAACCATACTGCAGTGGTTTACCATTATCTTCTTTTGGGTTGTTTTTTTTTTCAGTTGCTCAAGTCTAGTGTACAACTCTGGGATTTCTTTCTAATTTCTCATTTAAGTACTAATCAGGCCCATCCCTTAGCTTCCAAGCCCAGACAAAGTTGCCCATCTGCTGAAACAGCTGTGTGCTATTAGAATATTTTCACCAATCTTGCACATGTGGCACCATGACCTATCTCTGCCAATTGGATGCACAGATGAGGGTAGCCTTTTTGGCAGCAAGATAACTGTCTGCTGCTTTTTTAAAAAAATAATAGTGCAGATATTTGAAGACAAAAATAAATTTATACAAGCCTTGAGTTCACGTATTCTTTCTCCTTTCTGCATTTAAGGAAAATAGATTAAGCGTTTAAATCAGAACTCAGAACTGTACTATCTTTACGTACGTATATTTAAAGCATATTAGGGAAACTATAATCAAAACGAGCCACTATTCTAACTTTGGATATTAGTTTTATCACCCATGATATATAGCAGTGAGCAGTGGTAAAATTCTTGCAAATTATACATTTTAATAATGGCCAATTATTTGAGAAGGTCTTTTTGTTTACAATCCTCTTATTTTATTTGATTTTATTCTTCCAAAGATTAATTGAAACCTTTTGGCCTGGTTTGAAGGACAATACGGACACTTTAAAAACAAATAACTCCTACAGTATTGAACATGAACTTTTATGCAGAACAGCTACATAGCAAACGTTTATCTTTTCCAAAAGCTGAATATATGAAAAGAAAGATACGGTTTGGTTCACACATTGTGCTAAACTATAGCTTATTTAACCAGAGTTTATTGAATTACCAAATTAGTTGGGTTTATCCAACATACTAAACCAAAGCCAAGCAAATCACAATATAGCTTAGCCCAATGTGTGATTAAATTCACTGTGCAGTGATTGTCATGTTGTAAAAATAACGTCAGAATGGTCTTAGAGCTGCTGCAGAGAAAAATCAGCATGACATTTCAAAGTATTGCCTTTTTTTCTTAATGCACAGAGGAAGATAAGAAAATAGAGGCCCTGAAATGAATGTTTCTTTCTTTCTATAGTCAGGACCATCTGAAAATGTTTAATACATAAAATCTAAATCTAACTGATAAATCCAGATTAATTACTTAAGTTCTGCCTAATAGTACGAATTAAAACTCTGCAAGCCCCCAAATCTGCCACCTGGCCATGTTTCATAGCTGGACCATAATAAGCCAATTTCTTTATTGGGGCGGCTCTAAGAAAGGCTGTGGAGAAGTGCTGTAAAATGTCTCTTACTCAGAATCCCTTCCAGATCCCTTAATTCTTCAAGACTTTCTTAATTAAATAAAGTAAAACAGAATTAACTTACTTCTTTCTGAAAATGAATCTGAGGCCAGTTCTCAGCGTTGAACTTATACCCATGTACAAGTAAGTAATAGATGTAGTTTGCTGAAAAGCAGTAAGATCTTGCATATGTTTCCTCAAATTTAGGGAGCATAAATGGCAGCTGAAAAACAAAAGTGACTACTGATATCCAAGTAAGCTTTAATGTTTTAAAATTCTATTTCCTGCTCTTCAGTTGTGATCACAATTATTAAAATACCGTACCTAGGAAAATATCTTCCTGAAATCTCATGGCAAGATCTCTGACGTAGTTAAGTGCAAACTCAAGTATCTCAAGACGTAGGCAAATAATATGTCAGGAAGCAACCATTTCAGTCTATTTTCAAATATATATTTTTCCAGATAAAACATAAAGTCTGATGTAACTCAAATTTTCTTAGTAATCTTTAGAACAGAATACTCTTTATGTTCTATTTTTCAAATAATGTAAATCAAAAGGCACAATCTAGGATCAGTAAGCACATTGATGCCTTGTGGGTTTCAATGTGAGAGTCCCATACGTGTCTACTCAGAAGGAAATCCCATTATACTCAGTGAGACTTCTTTCCAAATAAGTGGGCTTAGTATTGCAGTCTTAAGCACTTGTTCAACTTGCCTAGATCACTCCCAGCAGTATGAAGCTGGAATGATGCCTAGTTTCACAGAGCTCTATTATTAATAAATACATTTTCTGGAGTAGCTTTTTCTTGAAGCATTTGAAGTAAAGTTGACTTTACTGAGGAATATGCAATCTCTTTTACTAGTACTTTATTTTTCTTCAAAAGTTAGAGACTGATACAAACCTGGTTCCAATCCTGTGAGCAGAAAG